TTCAGTGTTGTACAGGCCCCCCTCCTGTACTGTAAGCTTTTCACAATGTCCATTAGAATGTCCAACATGTTAGATAGAGTCCGCCTCATTTCCTGGCTTGAGGATGTCCAGTATCATCTGATTCCACCCGACTCCATCTAGGTCCTAAAAAACAAAATGGTAAAGAGTTCTGATTTGGGGGACTTGATGATGACAGATTGGGGGCAATCTGATGTAAATGTACACATGTCCACTTACATCTGACTCCCCATAGACATGGGTCCGGTAAGCTCAACTTTCGATGGAGTAAAAAAGTGGACAGAATCCGATGTCACAATGGTGACATCTGTACTTCTCTGATCAGCAGGCAATCCTTGCACAGATCCCCTGCTGATTGGAACTGATGGAGCCCATGTGAAAGGGGCCTTATGTACAAACATGATGGGCTTTTCCATCATCAGGGACCTGTGTCACTTTCTCCTCATTCTTATCTGGATTTTCAGAATAAGGAGAAGGATGCTGTCTTCTATGAACTATAGATGGGATGTAACTTTACAAAATTGAATGTGAACATTGACTAGGATTGGATTTATTCTTTTGGACCATGTGTGCAGTTCTGAGAATCCAGCTCCAGACTTACGCTCTTTTCCACATTAGGCGGGGAGGGTATTTTAAATTCACACTGTGTGCTGTTTAAAAGCCATGATTAAGGCCAAGTACGGCTGAAACACATATGCTGTGTAAAGAGAATGTTGTGAACAGATCCCGAGTAACTGGTGCCACACCACTATATCAGTCAGTCAGTCAAAAAAAAAAAAAGATTATAGAAAAAGTAGGGCTTTAATGGCACTATATGATTATAAGTCCAATGAACCACAAGGTAATTTGAATAAAATATTATTATTTTATTGATTACAACTGCATAAAAACGGCCATATTAAAATTCATATAGATGTGACATGATTGAAAGATAGCCCCACAGACTACTCATTCCATAATTAAGGCATATCATGTACCCAAAACATAATATATTCAGAACCTGCGGACCTGATTGGAATATTAACCATTTCATCGCTGATAATGATAGTACCTATATATTATATAGTATCCTATATAATAAATTGAAATATAAACCAGTCCAAATTCATGTAGGTAGATAGACTTCGCTGGAAACAGAAGAGTGGATGGTAATTCTACGCGTTTCACGCATAGATCGCTTAATCAGGACAAGGAGGCAATCTCATATGGAGCCGATAGGTGCACATCCACTACGACCCCCCCCAAAAAAGTTGATCCTAACAGGAACCCCACAAAGGGGAGATGGAGGCCAGAGCGACACCCGGCTGAATGAGGGAAGGATAAGGGCAGAAGCCCTGGATCAAAAGCACCCGACTATCTTGGCCAGCCAAGGAGACTCAAGAGCAGGAGGAAGGAGAGAGAGGAGGCTAGCAATCAGCACAGGATCAATCCCTCATGAATGCCGCCGATGTGTGCAGGGCCGTCCTCAAAATTCTATATAATTTTAATATGGCCGTTTTTATGCAGTTGTAATCAATAAAATAATAATTTTTATTCAAATTACCTTGTGGTTCATTGGACTTGTCATATGGTGCCATTAAAGCCCTACTTTTTCTATAATCTTTTTTATTTGACTGAAACACATATGCTGTTTTACATCTGCAGATTTAGGATTGTTTTGGTGGATGCTGGTGTTTTTTCAATTGTAGGCTATCTTACACTGAGGAGCAGTGTGGCCATGAACCCTACAAAACACAAACTGGACAAATATGCAGGTTGAGCAGTATCATAACTTACTTTTGCCCCAACCACACTTCACCACATACGTTATCAAAGCAGACATACCACTACCATGCGATAGGCGTGTGAAACATCTGTAAGCTATGGTGGCATCTAAATATGTGGCCAAGGGGAGACTTGATCATGCAACCTGTCAATGGCCGGCTCATCTTCAATCATGGATTTCTCTATGCTCTGTTAGCCGTCCCGGACATCAACGTCACCAGACTCCTCCCCCTTCGTTAACCGACGGAGCCACTTGGGGAAGTCTGCCATGTGCGCTCCTAGGAGGAGTCCGGTGACATCGATGTCCGTGACGTCACCGGATCTCCGACGGAACTCCCGGAAGCCGGCGGAGAGGTGAGTACGGATCAAAAAAAATTTAATCGATAAAAAGAATTAACAATTAATCGAGGAATTAATCTTTAATTTCCGCAGCCCTAATATATATATACAGAATGTCCTTAAATAAACCTAATTCTAACAAATACTTTCTAAACGGTAATATGTGAAATGTAGCAGCAATATATAGATATATATATATATACACACACACACACATACACGGATATTGGTTACGAAAAGAAAGAAATAATAAAACTGCCAATCTGACCTGCAATCCAAGAATACTGTGTGCATTACGCTACCCGGGCATCCTGTTGCTATGGCAGCCAGTTGTGGGAGGAGGGGGGCAGAATAAGACAATGCCTGCCAGTTTTCTTGCTTCTATTGGTTACAGCACTGGATGGTGTGCAGCTGGTACTTACAACAATATATCGATATGCAAAGTGTCCTCTGCCAAAAATCCCTACTTCCCAGCAATTTGTCCGCTTTAAGGATGCAATGCTGAACAGAGTGACAACGCTGCGTGAATCCACTGCATGCTGCTCAGCGTTGTTACCTTGTTGGGGGAGTCACTTGCAGAATTGACAGGCATTTCAATATAGCAATCTGCATTAAAGGAGAAATATAGGGTTAGGGCTTTTCCCCATAGTTCTCCTTAGGGTAACGGGAGGACACAAACTAGCATCCTCCCATCACCCTAAGCTCAGTATACCGCGAGCTGTAGCTCGCGGTATACTGAGACGCCGCAGCTGAAGCGGATCCCGACAATTATGTCTGGATCCGCCCAGCTGCGTGAGTGACAGCTGGCTCTGCCTATCTAGAGGCAGAGCCAGCTGTACCCGCCCCCTCCCCCGTCCGTTCCACCAGTCAGCGCTGGAGGATCGAAGGGGGGAATGCAGCCCCTCCCCTGCCACGGCAGAGAGCCGTGACAGGATCGAGAAGTGAGCGAACGCCGGTATGTGTTCGCTCACTTCCCGATCTACTGAGCCGACCTGTGACAGTCTCATTGTCACAGGTCGGCTAGAACTATGAGGTGAGTGAAAAGCACTCACCTCATAGTTCTCCTTTAAGGCTCTATTCGCCCCATGTGAGTTGGCATCCGTTTTTCAAAGGATGCCAACGCAAGGACATCTGAAAATGAATAGGTGTGAATGGGAGCAGTTCACATCCACCCGTTTGCATTGATGCCCTCTGTCCTGCGCTAAAAAAAAATACTACTTTGCTTTTCAGGGCAACGCCATGCTTATTTAATGGACATCAATGCAAGACATAATCAATACCTTATAAAGCTTAGTATAAAAATAAAATCAATGTAACAATACATGCTAACATACTATGCCAATGCATGTGAACGCACACATTTTGGTGTGAATGCACCCTTAGTCCCATCACACCATAGCATGGCAGGAATGCGCATCATAGTGACGCATGTCCCTGCACATTTGTGTGCATTTGTTACCTGCATTTGCCATGGGTCCCCATTGATTTCAACAAGGGTCCACATACATGGGAAAGTAGTGCACATAGCAAATCCTGCAACATGCGTTTCGCGCTGCCAGGTTCTCTGAAGCCCTTTTCAGCCATTTACTGCGTTTTTAGCCACGAGTTTGTGATTTGAATGTGCACGAAAACTACATATTATTCCGGCCACGTTTGAGGTGCCAGTAACTAGTAGTGCTATTAACACTAGTGGTGTGATTACCTAGTAATAGTACTGCAGACGCGTTCCACATTTTTTATGCTCTCTGTGAAATGCTTGTCAAAGCTCGCGTTTTTTCCCACACTGGACATGCGTTCATGGGATGCGGTGGTGTGAATGGGGTCTAAATTATATTCTCAACCAGGGTTCCATGGAAGGGTTTCTCCTGAGGTTGCTAGGGTGCCCTTAAGCAGTGGCTGATTGACCTCCCATCTCATGGTGCCTGCATAGTTCCAGGACCAATGCCTCTTGGCAGAGGCAGCAGCATGGCAGCAATGATCATTTTAGCTGACTGTAAGGGTTGCATTCTTCCTACTGACTGCCAATATAAAGGGCATTTTTGCCATTAACCCCCAATTAATTTGTTTTAGTAAGTGTTTTAGTAAGTGTTTTCTGAGACTTGAAAATGATTTTAAGAGTTCTCTGGGGTAAAAAGGTTGAGAAAGACAGTTCTAAGTAGTGGACAATCATGTGCAGCAGTCCTTCTTTTGAAAGCTGCTTGTCCTGTGTTTTTTTTTCCCCTGTAAGGTATAGATGTACCTTTTGTGGTCCAGTCACTGCAGCTCTGGCTCCTGGGGTGTACAGTAGTGTCTGAGTCTGGGATCGCTAGTTTCGCTCAGCGATGTGTTTTGCAGTCTTGTGCGAATGACTTGAATGGGTGCATTCTACAGAATGGCCACTAGATGTCTCCTGTGCGCACGTGTTCCCAGCACTTAAATCTGTGCGCAGAAGAAGTGAGTCAGTACATGCGATGGAAGAAGAGCAAGGCACGGAAACCTCCAAGAAGTTTTCTCTTCCCACTGCAAAGGGTGTATGACCCCGGACAGCACAAGTGATGACAACTGCTCTATACTGAGGCTGAATTCCACCCCATTGATTTGATTGCCATTAATCTGCAGGAGCAGTCATTGTGGGCTGGTGTTCTGGTGCTGGTTCTGACATATGCGATTGTGATGGCATGCGAGGTGATGAATGTTTTGGCAAAGATACAGACGTATCATGCCTATTACTAAAGTGGACAGTTAGGAGGAAAGTGGGAAGGAGTGAGCTGGCTGGTACTTCTCTTTGGTTCTAGGCAGGTGTTTGACATCTCTCATACAGTTCATTGAGAACCATCTGGACTGTAGACTTGAAATGATAACCCTGATCTTCTACTTTTTTATACTCTTCTACTATCAGTAATAGCTGGTAGAGGTAAAGAGCTTGGACCCTACATGCACTTCTTTCCTAGCAGGGAGCATGGAGTGGTCAGCTTTATCTTTTTCTGGGTCACTCTGGTTCTCTTGCTCCCTGCTGCTGTCCCTGGCACAAGGGACACTGGTTGAAAGCAGCAGAAGAGCTAACATGGACAGTGGCTTCTTGTACAGGCGCTTGAAGAACCACGAAAAGAGGGAGATGCAGAAGGAGATCCTCTCCATCCTTGGACTGCCACACAGACCAAGACCGGTGCATGGACTTAGCCCTGCTCAGCTGCACCAGCCTGGAAAACTGAACTCTGCTCCCCTTTTTATGCTGGACCTGTATAATGCCATGTCTGGCCAGGAACAGGGTATGGACATCAGAGACTGGTCACAAAGAACAACTCCATACAGCCATCAGATGAAGGTCAAGAGTCTATTGAGCAGTCCACTGGCCAGTGCCCAGGACAGTGCTTTCCTCAATGATGCTGACATGGTCATGAGCTTTGTCAATCTGGGTGAGTCTTTACTCCATGCCCACCCTTTTCAGCAAAGGGCTGCTTTGTATATTAACAGACCCAAATGCTGTAATCATTGCTTTCATGTCAAATATGTTGCAGTTTCCACAAGCTATTTTGCTCAGATACACATAGAAAAGATGCATATGGTAGAGATTTATTGCACTGCAAAGATACTATTTCTGTTAAAACATGTGAATTGAGGCACATATGGGGAACACACAAGAAATGGTCACTTTAAAATAGTTTTGTTTTTTTATTCAGAAGCCCTCAATTGCAGTTTTCATTGACATTGATTTCTTGTTTTACACAAAACAGTTCATTAATTTAATAAGAAGGTAAAAAAAATGCTATGACCACTTATATTAATAAGTAAATAAAAACAGCGCAGTGAGAAAATGGAAAGTTACAACATCACATGACTTGAGATGACATTGCAACTTTTAGTTGGTGGCTCCAGACTGATAATACTTATTACAATAACCCATAACACAGGATGACATGGAAGTGCTGAATCAGGTTTACAGATTATCTGCTAGCGTACATGTGTAAAAATAAGGTTGATATTAATATGGGAATGAGTTCGCTGTGAAAGAAAGTTAAAAAAAAAAGCTCTGAAATCCCTTTAGACACTTTTATTTTTACTAGCTGTTTGCAGTAATAGGGTTATTTGGCTTTCCTTTTTCCAGTTTTGTTTTGATGATGTAGCAGACGTGTACGATGCTGGTTTTCCAGTTTTGCTTATTTGCGCTACCACTATAATTACTACCCTTTGGATTATACTGTAATGACATAATAGTATGATTTATTAAGACTCACACACTCTACGGAGCGGTTTAATCATTGCAGTGGTTATGGCTAGCTATTTATTTTGTAGTATTTAGTCGAATGATGGATATAATTCCGCATAAAGTGTAACCCCTATCAACAAACGATTTGCTCCCTTTTGCTCTGTTACAAATACCATTGGAAGAATCTTGTTATACTTGTTTGGAAAGTACAGCAACAAGAAAAAAAACTGTTGGAGTTCTGGGTCTTCTCTGTATTTCCTGTGTTATCTCCTGTTTTTTTTTTATTGGACTACAGAATGATTAACCTTCATGTTGTGGAGATCTGAGAGTAGGTATAGTTGAGTAGTTTAGCAAAAGACACTGGGCAGGACTGACAATGTTCAGTTCCCCAAAAAGGTGAGGGTTGCCAGCCCACTACAGGACTTAAGAGCTGAGGGCATTCGGGCAGATGAAAGGGTGGTTTTCTGTACTTGCAGGAATAAAACATGGGGAAATGTACATGTATTGCATATATTTTTGCTAGGTGCAGTGTTTCTCAGGTGTCTAGAGGATTAAAATAGCTAAAAAAAATTCTTATACTTATTAAAATGAAATACTTGAAGTAGTATGTAGGTTGCCAGTGCTGATCTTCTATAAAATACCATTTGTTTTCAGCTTCAGTACTTTCAGAATCACTGACGAGGCACAAGCATGCAGATAGTAAAGTGAGAACATGTGATCTACCTACCTGCTTCAGGGCAGTGACTCAAAAAGTAATAAAGCTGATGGATCAGCATGGCAAGCAGGCAACAAAAACATATAGAATTATACTAGGTCAGCAATGGCAGAATTTCTCAGAGAACAGGATTTATTTGCAGCAAGTTTGTGGACTCACCGTACTTTCTCAAGTGGTCCCAAAGAAGTCAATAGAAAGTATACAATTAGGTATCCGTTCATGCCCTTGGTTTCTCTTCAGAGTCTCCCAGGAATATACAGTTGGGTTACAGTAGTATGCAAATATTGACCACATTTTAACTGGTCAAAGCTCTGGCTTGTCTTTGTCAACCCCATTTCTTCCTGTTGGTCACAAAATATAAAGGGAGAGATGGTTCAAAGCTTTAGGTCTATGGTTCACTGCTCGTTTTGGTCTAGGGAGGAAAATAAAAAAGTAATACTCACCCTATCCTCCGAGCCGGCTTGCCCTTAGACAGGATCTTCCAACCTTGCCCCTCCTCCACAAGATTCTTGAGTCATCGCATTCTATACAGTGTATAGGACCTGACCACTGCTGACCAAAGCGGTGGTCAGTATTTGCATAATAAATTACCACTGGTTTGGAGGATCCTAGTTATTTTGTCGTTGGCATGTTCTAAGTCAGCCATTCTCAAGCAGAGTTCCATGGAAGGGTTTCTCCTGAGGTTGCTAGGGTGTCCTTGAGCAGTGGCTGATTGACCTCCTATCTCATAGTGTCTGCATAGTTACAGGACCAATGCCTCGTGGCAAAGCCAGCAGCATGGCAGCAATTATCATTTTAGCTGTCTGTGAGTATGGTATTTTGACCACCACTTTCAAGGTTGCATTCTTGCTACTGACTGCCAATGTAAGGGGCATTTTTGCCATTGAGCCCCAATGAATTTGTTTTAGTAAGGGTTCTCAGAGACTTGAAAATGGTTTTAAGAGTTCCTCTGGTGTAAGAATGTTGAGAAAGGCTGTTCTAAGTAGTGGGAAATTATAGGGCTGCAGCTAACGATTATTTTCATAATCGATTATTTGCCCGATTATTTTTTCAACTAATCGACTGGTTGCATTGAAAAAAACTCTCTCTCTCTGCCCCCCCCAACCGATAATGAGAGTGGTTGGCAACTATTTAATTCAATCGATTAGTTGTTGCAGCCCTAGAAAATTGTCAGTATTTCCACTTTATTTTCTGTAGCTGCAACACTACATTTGAATAATGCAGGTAACAATTTGAAATGGTCGTGTCCAGAGTGGATTCTGTGTTGCTTTGTGACATGACTGCTGGGTGACAAGTTGTGGACAAGAAAATAACTGCTGGGTGACAAGTTGTGGACAAGAACATGACTGCTGGGTGGCAAGTTGTGGACAAGAACACGACTGCTGGGTGGCAAGTTGTGGGCAAGAACACGACTGCTGGGTGGCAAGTTGCATACAAGAACATGACTGCTGGGTGGCAAGTTGCATACAAGAACATGGCTGCTGGGTGGCAAGTTGCATACGATAAAATGACTGCTGGGTGGCAAGTTGCATAGAAGAACATGACTGCTGGGTGGCAAGTTGTGGACTAGAACATGACTGCTGGGTGGCAAGTTGTGGACTAGAACATGACTGCTGGGTGGCAAGTTGTGGACTAGAACATGACTGCTGGCTGACAAGTTGCATACAATAAAATTACTGCTGGGTGGCAAGTTGTGGACAAGACAATGACTGCTGGGTGGCAAGTTGTGGACAAGACAATGACTGCTGTGTGGCAAGTTGCAGGCAAACAAATTATGTCTGTTGAATTTGGTCCATTAAATTGTAATACAATTATTGTATGTATAGCCAAACCTTTTTATAGATTTGGATTGTGTTGGGAATGGTTAAGAAGCCTGTTCCTTCAATTCTTGTCCCAGAGAATCGACAGTGAGAGGAAATCCCCTTTTAGACAGTTGTCACCTCTTCTTCAGATGACAACTCTAACATTTTGGATTTCCAATCACTTTCTTTTTCATTGACAGTGGTCACCTGCTGGACCAATAGAGGGAGAATCTACAGGGACACAGGCGGCAATAAAAACCAGACAGGGGTTCTAATTAGGGCTGCAGCTAACGATTATTTTCATAATCGATTAGTTAGCCGATTATTAAGTTCGATTAATCAACTAATCGGATAAAAAAAAAGGGCTCCAGTGATGGACTACTAGTTTCTATTGAGATTGTAGTCCATCACGGCAGCAAGCTTGGCACGGTGGAAGTATGGTGTCGAGTGTGGTGTGCAATATAGTACATTATACAGCGGCGCAGTGCAGAATACCAGCAGCTATAGAGGAATGTAGCAATAGTACATTATACTATAATGTACTATTGCTGTGATTTGTAGTCCTCTGTAGCTGGGGTTATTCTGCATTGCACTGTATATAATGTATTATTGCTGGGATTTGTATTCCTCTATAGCTGGTGACATTCTGCAGTGCGCTGTATAATGATTATACGGCGAAATGAGGCAAGTTGCATACGAGAACATGACTGCTGGGTGGCAAGTTGCATACGATAAAATGACTGCTGGGTGGCAAGTTGTGGACTAGAACATGACTGCTGGGTGGCAAGTTGTGGACTAGAACATGACTGCTGGGTGGCAAGTTGTGGACTAGAACATGACTGCTGGCTGACAAGTTGCATACAATAAAATTACTGCTGGGTGGCAAGTTGTGGACAAGACAATGACTGCTGGGTGGCAAGTTGTGGACAAGACAATGACTGCTGTGTGGCAAGTTGCAGGCAAACAAATTATGTCTGTTGAATTTGGTCCATTAAATTGTAATACAATTATTGTATGTATAGCCAAACCTTTTTATAGATTTGGATTGTGTTGGGAATGGTTAAGAAGCCTGTTCCTTCAATTCTTGTCCCAGAGAATCGACAGTGAGAGGAAATCCCCTTTTAGACAGTTGTCACCTCTTCTTCAGATGACAACTCTAACATTTTGGATTTCCAATCACTTTCTTTTTCATTGACAGTGGTCACCTGCTGGACCAATAGAGGGAGAATCTACAGGGACACAGGCGGCAATAAAAACCAGACAGGGGTTCTAATTAGGGCTGCAGCTAACGATTATTTTCATAATCGATTAGTTAGCCGATTATTAAGTTCGATTAATCAACTAATCGGATAAAAAAAAAGGGCTCCAGTGATGGACTACTAGTTTCTATTGAGATTGTAGTCCATCACGGCAGCAAGCTTGGCACGGTGGAAGTATGGTGTCGAGTGTGGTGTGCAATATAGTACATTATACAGCGGCGCAGTGCAGAATACCAGCAGCTATAGAGGAATGTAGCAATAGTACATTATACTATAATGTACTATTGCTGTGATTTGTAGTCCTCTGTAGCTGGGGTTATTCTGCATTGCACTGTATATAATGTATTATTGCTGGGATTTGTATTCCTCTATAGCTGGTGACATTCTGCAGTGCGCTGTATAAAGGGGGAGCGTGGCTTATGCGCCCTGTGGG